CAACCTTGAGTACAATTACTGAGCTTTTTCTAGTGGTAAACATGAGGATATCAGCAATATATTTATAACGAGATAAAATGAATAACTCTAGTAAAAGGTACATTTTACAAGGTAAGGAGAAAGCGACAAAACTTACATACCCGTAAATCGAAACCTTCCGGCTATTTTCACCAAGTTTTTCCCAAAACGTTTAAAATGAGAATGCAAAATAGATTTCTTTGACGTTATATTTATAGTGGTGAATCAATAAAAGGAACAATGAAACGCTTTTTTTGTAATAAAGTAAAGAGAAAGCAATAATTTATAGCTAACGAATTTTATAGAGACAGAAAAACAAAACGTAAAACACCAACTGTCCAATTGCGTATTCTTGAAAAAGAGAGCAAGGAGTAAAAGGGAAAGAAAAAGAGCCCTAAGTTAGCAGACGTGATTTGACATTATAAATTATAGGATTGACTAAGCAGGTTCTGTCTAGATCATTCAAGAGAATCTTTTAAAATGCGTGGAATACCGGAAACAATCTAAGAATTAATCAAAGGACTTTTTGAGAAGTTAATAAGTATTGGAAGGAGTCATGAACATTTAGGGTGATGCGATGAAGCAAAACACATTGATATGGTTGACACTGTTAAAGCTGAATTGTATTAAAAGATATGACACTAGAATCACTTACAGAAGATTCCGCATATGCCCTTTGCATGTCTGCTGAATATCGAATGCCAGTTATGAGAATGGGATCTACAGGGCAGCTGAAAGTGACATAATTGCAAGTACAGTTCTATTCTAAGTTAGCGTTACAAGTATCTGTTACCCTTTCTCATTAATGACATCTGCCTTCTTTCCAAAACCGTCGGTGACATAGCAATTATTGATAAGCACTCCAAACATTTCTAGAACGTTCGAATTTTATGTTGGAAATCATTCTTTAAAGCTTATACACTAACTATCGTTGCAATGCCATTGATGCAGTACCCGATCCCCGACTCGAGCGAATTGGATCGGTGGTCCAGCAGGTCTCCCTTCGTCCAGATCTTCAATGG